GGGAGTACCGGAGTAGGTTTAAAAATTGATGTTGAATGTTTTCATACATAGCAAGAAAAGGCATGAAAGACAGCAGTAATGGTAAAATCACATGTATTTCGTCGTTTAGGTTTGCTTGGAAGTTAGAATTGAATCACGAAATTGGCACAAACTCGTGATTCGTAATAATGACGGGGTCAATATATCGAGAAAGTTGGAAAATGGAATTTTTAATAGAGAGAGGTTAGAATTTGGATTCCTCCTAAACCACTCTTTGGTGTTTCCTCACCCAACTTTCACGAAAAAGGGCCAAGAAAAGAAAGAATTTGATTCTCCCATCTTTTTATCCACAACAAGTAACGTTGGGATTTTTATTCTACGGATAAAAACAATTCCCATAAAAAGAAAACGAATCCTTATAAATCAGTTTACGTCCCCGTGAAATGAATCATATACAGTACATACAAGGAAAATAGTTTTAAAGGACTCAAGATATCTCTTCTTATTAGGCAGAAAGGAATCCATTCATTACTTCGAGTGTCTCAATCTCATCATTTATTCATTGCCTAATAAGAACAACATTTTCTACTACTATCTTGATTTCTCTGAATTAATTAATAAAACTAAATTGAGTTTTTTTGTGTGTGTGTGCAGAGTTTCTGTAGGTTTCTACAAACCATGTGCATCTCTTTGGTATGATTTATAATTACCCTTGTGCTTACTCACAGTTTTGTTTGGTCAATTTCTTGTTATTTACCAACTCTACCAGCTTTTACTGTCTTTTTGTGAATTTGAACCAAAATGTACCAAGTTATTATAAACCAAGACCTAGAACATATTTCAACAAAAAGACAATAGGTATGACATGAGATATGTAGTCTCTATTACATGAAACCATCTCATACCCAAAAAGTAACTTATCCCAAATGTTGCTACAAGAGACGGAAGTAAAAAACCTGGACCAAAAAAACCGATGTTTCTCCATGTCATGACTGAAACTTTTCACAGGTACAAGAGATTCAAGGCCACATCTGGAGTATGACAACGTAAAGGAACCACATCATGATTTTGGTTTGGACTTTTCTCCATGGTTAAACAAAGTCTGTGTGCATGTGTGTGTTTATAGTCTAAAACACACACATGTGTTCAACAATAATTTTATATATATACACTTGACAGAATTTTTACACTTAAAACATTACCACGCAAAAGCACACGAAACTGAAAAAGAGTAAACGCACCCGTCTGTTTTGTTTCTCATACGCCTCATTGTGTGTATCTGAATCAACAACCGGTCTTGTAAGCCCAGGCGTGTTTTTCTAGATAAGCAGCCACTGCCTCTTTGATAGCCAGATTTGGTACGAGCTTGTACTGGTCCAGTTTTTCACGCGTTATAGGATCAAACTTCCCCACCTACCAAGTGGTTTAAACAATCAAGCCTTAACAGGGATGAGTTATAAAAAGAAGAGATCAATGCTACAGCAAATGCCAACCTTGTTAAGATGTTCAAGGATTGCTGCTCTTTCATATGTAACCCCACTCGGAGAAATCACAGGATCTCGGAAAATCTCAAGAGTAATGTTGCAACACAAATAATCTGGCACCTGAAAAGTTGACCCAGATTGGTACTGATCTCAAATTTTAATAGACAAGGGGTCTTATAAAAAGCTTTTAGAGAAAAGTTAATGCACCTCAGTTGGTTTGTCGTCAATTCCAGCTTTCTCAAACACTCTATCAAGGGCTTTCAATCGCTCACTATGGGAAGAATAGGCTTCTTGGGAGAAATCTTCTGTCCGTGACATATCTAAAGCGCGTTGTTGGTTAAGAGCAGCCTCACAAGTTTCCCTAAGACGGATATGAATAGTTCCATAAAGCCACAGTTGAGCATAGTTCCAAAAAGAATGTTTGCATTGGATTAAGTAAGAGACGGAACCTACTTCAAACTATTCAATTCCCATGAGCGCCTCGCAGAAACCAGTTCCCACTCCATGTATTTTGCTTTAGCAAGCTCTTCCCAGATTTCTTCTATCATGTATCCTGTTGGATTTGCGCCTCTTCCAAGATCTAAAGCCTATATGAAATGTAGCCACATGAAGTAGTCAAAGCTATTGTTTTGTAGTATTTGATGATTTCAACAAATTTACCCATCCCTCGTGGTTTTCTCACTAAAACAAGTGTTCGTAATATCCACAATTTCAACAAATTTCCCCATCCGCCATCCCTCCTTTTTCTCACTAAAACAAGTGTTCGTAATATCCACAACGACATCTTTCAAAAGAAAGAAAGATGGGGACTCAATTGATACCTTACATCTACTTTGAGAAAATTGCAAACTACACTACTCAGGTGTCAAGGCTATGGCGTAAAAAAAGATCATGTTCACTAATAGACAGAGCTTAGAATAAACAAGGATCCATACCCTTTGCAGTTCTTTAACTCCACCAGCATATTCTTTCCTCTCCAACAGTGAAAGTCCTAGCATGTAGTGAGCCTGCCACAGAAACATAAGCGTAAAATCCCGATAGGAGAGAGGAGAAAGGATCAAAGAATGCCGGAACAAAAGGATCAAACCTTTACGGAATTGTGATCGAGCTGAATAGCTTTACGACAATCCTCTTCTACCCTAGTCCAATCTCTGAATTTGATGCAGTCACCACCACAAGTAAACAAGCCAAACATAAACAAAAAACGCAAATAAACTATATATGCATAAGAATTGATCAGAGGTATAAATGTATTTGACAGAACATACATACTTTCTCTTCATGTGGCAAAGCGCTCGATTTGTCCAATAAACAGGAACCTTTGGGGACAAGGTTATCGCCTACACAAGATGATAAGCAAATCAAAATGAATAAGTCACTGTAACTGATAACTTTCCGATAAACACATGAAGATTCCTAAATTCCATCTGTAAACATTCTAACCAATTTGTATATTCTCGAATACACTCAATCTAAGGCGAATTTAGATGAATTTCCCAATTTCGAGATTCAATCCAAATCAAAATCAAAATCAAAATCCTAGGGATTGGCCCAGAAAACGAAACCCTAACGAGTAAATAAGAGAGGGATAGTGAAACGCTAGTGAGAAAAATGAACCTCTGTGTAAGCATCAATGGCGGCACCAAAGCGTTCTTTCTTAAAGTAAGTGTTACCGTCTTCCTTTAACCTCTCGGCTTGTTTTGCCGCCATGGCGGAGACCGTGCCTGTCACCATCCCAAGCCACTACGACGGAAACGAATCGATTCTCCCTTCCTACGCCTTCGACCGTTCTCCGGCGACGATTGCGTCGAATCTCTCCCGGTGTGTTACAGGCGGAGAAGAAGCCGCGAAATTTCTGTCGACGAAGGGGAGACGAAAAGCAAAGGTTATTGAAAATTTTAAAAGAAATCGGTTATCGAAGATGATCGAAGACTCTTTACCGGGTCAGCCCGACAAGACTTGGAGCAATTTCCGGGTCAGCCTTTTAATTGGTTTATCTTATTATGAGTGTACCATAAACCGATCTTTGGGTCATTTTGTAAACTACTATTTAATAAAATCTTCCTTATTGCACAATCTTATATCAATTCGTTGTTAAAGTGCAACAGCGAGCCAATCACCAAGCTGGAAAAAAAAAACGCTAACAAAACAAATCTAAACTATTAATAAAATACTTGGCATTTTCATAATTTTAAAATGCTTGACCTCTCTCTTTTCTCTCTGAACAAAAACTCTCGAACTTTCCTACTTCCAGATCTGAAATCGTTTTCCCGGCCGGCGGTTGTCGCCGGTTCGGATTGTAAA